GGGTCGATAGCCTTTTTCGTAGGAAATAAAGATTATTTATATATATTATATATATGCAGTTAAATTCGACTAGGGGGAATAAAATCTGCTTTTCTGTAACGATTTGAATAAAATTGGTTTGCGGTTTAAACAGCTTCGTTCAACGGATCCAAAAAAATTATCGCATTAATTAGGATTAGGATGCACTAAAGAAGAGCCGCGCTCCAAGCCTTTGATGACACCATTTATTTTAATACGAGGGCACCAAGCCCTTAATTTTTTCCACATATGTTTTTGCCACCATCAGTCTTTCTTATCAGCATTATCATCAGCATTTGAATAGATCGTTATTCTCTTCATCCACTTCATAACTTTTATATGCACCGCGAATAAATTTTAATTGATCAGAAAATATCAATAGAACCACAATTTGCCAAGCATTCGAAAATAAGTGCGCTACCATTTCCAAAAATCCACAAAAAGCGAAGTGGAAATTCGCTCTGTAAAATGCACAAATCTGCACATGCGAGCAGCATAAATGCTATCAAAAAAATAAAATGTCGTCCGCATCCAGACCGCTTAAATTCCCTCAAACTCAATTTTGCCTCAAAAAACTTAAATTTAAAACAACGGCAAGTCTTGATCCGGACTACCTACAGCATTTGTTTAAAGTGTGAGATTTGAAAAAACAGCGTCAAATCTCAATTATTAGGCCTAGACCACTTGCAACCTTTTAAGGCGCTATCCGCTAGACCACCACAAATTAATAAATAACATTCACATACCTTTTAGGTACTTTTTTAGGCAAAAAATGAAACTGACAACAGAAAAACACTAATAAAATATTTAATGAAAATTGTATTAGCAGCAGAATACTCCTATTTTACGTGGCATAACCCTGACCATCAAAATCGTTGGAAAACGAAGCAAAAAAGCTAAATTTTGTAAATCTAATTAAGCACCATTAACAATGCAAGAACCCTTTAGTTTCGAGTGTAATTGATAACAGAAAAACACCAATAATTGATAAAAATCTCTTGCACGGCAATAAATGTGTTGCTCACAGGTGAACGACATTTTTTTGCATGAGTTAACTGTTTGACTATGGACAAACCGTTTTTAAAAATTATCTTTATTACTTAACTAATTACAAGTTTACTTCAGTATGTCTTTACTCTGACTGACTTAACATAATGTATATCTCCAACTGGAAGACATGATGCCCCTTTATGACCTTAACATTGGCGGTATGCCTATTCTGCTGATCCAGCGGAATCTATGGGAACTAGTCACATAAGTGCTGCTGATGTAGCGGAATTCGTGGGAACTGGCCACATAACTCCTCCCTCCGAAGATTCGACTCCATCGTCTACGAGGGTAGTTGGACCTCTTGAAGTTCTATTTGAGATGTATTAGGTCGGTTTGGACAAATTTGATACTTTTGTTTAGACAGGTATAGTCCAAAGCCTATAATTAACATAAACAGACATATTAGTGTCCAAAAGTTAGGAAA